AACTGTAGGCAGAACACGCCCTCTACCCAGTTCGTGGTTTAAGGTTCATGATAATTTCACGTACTCACAGTTTGTGCTCTGTTAAGAGGATTTTGTTCTCTGGAGGGTGGGGGTGGGAGCGGGGGCATGCAGGATCTTGGGTGTGCGGAGGTTCAAAGATGACTTTGGTACTTCCGAGTAATTCCAGATGGGGGCACCCCTACTCTACCTGCAGTACGATCATCCTTCTCGTCGGGACCCCATAAGGCTGAGGGTAAATTTGGGAAACGCCCTGTGCGGCTTTGGAGAACCTCAAGATGAGAGGCTTCGTCCACAAAGCTTCACGCGTGTCATCATCTGGGAGATCCGTCGGTGATGTGGTCCACATCTTTCCAAAGCCGTGGAGGGTCGCTTTCAACGGGATACCCCGTAGAAGATCCCTGTCGAGCGCAAAATGATGCGATGATGTCGACGACAGTCTGCTTTGGGTGTCCGACGTAGGGGACGTCTCCCGAGAGAACTTGCGAGTCTTGTCGGTCTTGTCAATCCTGAGAGCCAGCTCTTCATACGACAGGCTCAAGGGCTCCTGGTGCACAGGCTCTATCTCTGTCTGGGGCGGGTAGTCCAGCGAGCCATGCGGTTCCTCAGTGTTCATGGCCTCTTGTCATGAATACCTGCCGATTATGAATCTTAAGCTTATCTCCAAACACGATGCAGTAAGCCTTGTTAGGTTCTCCATGTTCTGGGGCTTGAAAACTCAGCCTTATCTATTCTAATAGGGTACATCATTGTAGAGAACGGCTCCAACATATGGGGGTTTACGAAAATCAGAGACCCCCCTTAGAATAAGTGACCCCAACCCTAAACCCTAAACCCCTTTTTCGGAAACCCCCCATCTTCCTGAAGACGCATGCTAGACTCGGCCAGCGCTGTCTCTTGCGGGGGCTCGCTCGCCGTGGCGCAGCAGCCATCTTCCGTGGGCTTGCAGCTCGTTGCACCCATTTGGGTTTAGGGTGTAGGGTGTAGGGTGTAGGGTGTAGGGTGTAGGGTGTAGGGTTCAGGGTGCTCTGGTCTCAGGACTTCCTGGGGGGGATTTGTCGGGTTGGGTTTGCTTGTGATTCCCAACCTCCTCAGACTGTGTGTCGCGTTGGGGATCTCCTACTATAACGGCCTTAATAATTAGAACAGGATATTGGGGGGGTTATTCTAGTATATTTACAAAGGAACCATAAGGGAATGCCGTTAGTACTTCTTCCGACCCCTACATTGCCCACTTTCTGCTGCTGCTGGGCATCCGAGAAATCTATAAGGCCGGACGGTTCTAGATCCAGGCTAGCTCTCTTAGTTGCTGAGTTCAGAAGCCCCCCCCCCCAAAAAAAAAAAAATACACTTTCAGTTCTTCTGGGGATGGTAGTATCCCAAAAAGTTGTAAAGTGTACTCACTCAGCTACTCAGTTCTTGGGATGCTCCTTCCGCGTGAAACCCCCATCACGCCCCAATCCTGAACCGAAACCCCTGAATTTCCTGAAGTTCCGGAAGCACGAACCCTAAACCCGGAATCCTAAACTCCGAGCCCCTGAAACCCTAAACACTAATACCCTAAACCCTAAGCCCTGAAGTTTGCCTCGGGTGGGTTTAGGGGTTTAGGGGTTTTAGGGGTTTGGGGGTTTAGGGTTTTGAGGCTTTCTGCACTCTTGGCTGTGGCATAGGGTTGCCACGGATGTAAGATATGTTGGTGTTGTGGGCTCACGGGTTTCAACACTCAGGTTTGGGACTTAGGAATCCAGAACCAAAAAACATTACAGTATAGTACTCCAAAACCCAGGTTTCCCTACATATAACCCCACTTCCTAAACCCTAAACCCTAAACCCTAAACCCTAAACCCTAAACCCTGAACTACCCGTCGGTCTCCGGTCTCTCTTTTAGTTGCATAACTTGGCGTCGTCGCACTCGCCACTTTTTGTGGACGTTCGCGGGGCCGATTCGTTAACTGCTTACCGGGTTTGGGATTTAGGGTTTAGGGTTTAGGGTTTAGGGGTTGGGGGTTTAGGGTTTAAGGTTTAGGGGTTAGGGTTTTAGGGGCTTGCCATAAACTGTATCATCTTCACACCCTCACACCCCGCTACTTGCCTGCCACCCTTGACGTCTTGCTCTCAACACCTAGCCGCACCCCCAAAAAAGCAACTCTTGTCCTGCACGATGCCATCGCAAGAGCAAATGCCCCGCTAGAGCTTGCTGACGATAACACCTACGCCAGTTGAAGGGCACTTGGCCTCAGCTTAGCAGTTAAAGGTCAAGGATTTACCTATGCCCACTACACTAGGATGGCCGTTAAAGCCCTCTCCAAAAAATCCTAAATATGTTCCTCTTAAACCCAATAAGGCCCTTTTATTAAAGCCCTCTTAAGCAAATGCATCCTAAACATGTTCCCCTTAAACCCCATAAGGGAGAAAAAATGAATGTCCCAAGGGCCGACCGAGTACGATGTCTACAAACACATGCCCTCCGCCCCCTGAGATGGCCCGGTTGCTGGGGCAAGTCTTTCGCCCCACGCCTCCGGGAGCACCCCGGGGGGGGACTTGGAGGTTCATACTAGGGTTTAGGGTTTAGGGTTTAGGGTTTAGGGTTTAGGCTATTAGGCTATTAGGCTATTAGGGTTTAGGGTTTAGGGTTGCTGTACTTATAATTGTACTTAAAGCACGACTAGGGCACTTCAGGGGCCTGTAGTGGTCTACAAGTACAGTTCTACTTGGTGAATACGTACCATGAATCATGAACCTCCAAGGAGGGGGATTCGGGGAGACGCTCTGGACTCCGCACCGAACCTGGGGAACTCGGGTCAGAGGTTTAGGGTTCGTAGGGGCTTCTAGGGTAAAGTTTGCGGGATCTTCAGGGTAGAGGATTTTGCAGGGCTTGTAGGGCTTGCAGCGCGTATCATAGGGTTACCATAGGGTCTATTATCGAGCCTATGGGGCTTTGGGGACGCATCGCACCAGTGCAGAATTCCACTGTACACTGTCGCTGCCGTTGGGCGTGGGCCCGATAAAGGCTCCGCAGGGTGGCGCAAAGTAAAACCTTGTAAGTCCTCTTAGGGTCTAGGGTTTACGGTTTAGGGTATAGGGTTTACTCCTCCGTGCACCCAAATGACCACTGCGCATGGACGAATTGTCAAGGTTCTCAGATGTGTGTAACCTGTGGCGTTCAGCCTCAATCTCTTAACCCTTTACCCGAAACCCTAAACCCTAAATAGGATGCAGTAGGGGGAGCCCTCAGTCCAACAGCAGCGATCGCAGCTCTCTCCCGCGGACGCTCCGCGGCGGCGAAGGCGTCGATTTGCTGGCAGAGTGGTGGCTGGGCTGCAATCCCCAAGGGTTCAGGGGTTTAGGGTTTAGGGCTTAGGCGAAGAATGTGTTGAAACCCCCGAAGAAGAGTAAATATTCCCCATGTGCTTCAGTACACAAATGGGAAAACGTCACACGCAGTATTTGCGGGCTAGGAGGGCTAATGTTGCAGGGGCAGGGGGGGGGGGGGTTTGGCGTGGCTTTTCCGGGTGTAGGTTGGGGTGCCCATCACATGTTTACTTGCAGTTCCAGCCATTGTATGAGCAGTTCCTCCCGGTTAAGGGGTTAGGGTCCCTAAACCCCAAACTCCCCAAGGCTTAACCCTCAACCCTAAACCCTAAACCCCCCCCCACATCCTAAACCCTCAAACACAAAGACCCTCAAACGCCCCAAAATCCCTAGCCAGCCACTTCATGTGGCCCCAACCACTCCAAAACCCTAAATCCTAAGAAGCCCCACTAATTACAACCAGGTTCAGGGTTTAGGGTTTAGGGCCTTGATCAAACTCCAGCGCTTGCACTTAAACTCCCAATCCCTATAAACCTGAACCCCTGAACTCCCCAAAGGCACGGCAAGGCCGCCTGGCGGCGCGCACGTGGCGTCCCAAGCGCTGCTCAAGGAATTCCGCCCAGGAGGCTTTCTGCAGGGGGGGGGGGGGTTTAGGGTTTAGGGTCGCCTTTCTTGGGGGGGTACATGGGGTAGAAGGATGATACTATGTCGTATGTCAACATGAGTCGAACCCATGTTCTTCGACTCAAAACTTAAACCCTAAACTCAAAACCCTGAACCCAAAACCGTGGCCACTTTGGCTTTTTCCAGTGGTTGTTAAAGTGTACGCAGGCTCATCGGAAACCGTAAACCCCTAATTACCCCTGGCACCCAGCCGGGTCACCCAGCTCTCTTTTCGCAAGCTTGGGGAACGATGGGCCTGTAACCCCCAAACTCCAAACCCCAAACCCCAAACCCCAAACCCTAAACCCTAGACCCGAATCCCTAAACCCTAAACCCTAAACCCTAAACCCTGAACACTAAACCCCTTTTGGGGGGGGGTGGGGGGGGAAGGGGTTTGGTGGTGACCTGGCAGCTCAGGGTTCCAAGTTCAGGGGGAGTTGGGGTCTGGCGGCTGCCCAACCAAATTCTGGGCGCCCTGAGGGCGCACAAAGTGGTATGATATGATCTGTATTTTCATGGCATTTCCTAGTGCCCCTTCTAGGTTCCCCCTTTAATAACCTGAATTATGAGGGAAAACATGGGGGGGGGGGGGGTGGGAGCATGGAGGGGGGGTAGTAGGGGAACGCTAAACCCTAAACCCCCTAAACCCTAAACCCTACACCCCAAACCCTAAACCCTAAACCCTAAACCCTAAACCCTAAACCCCTAACCCCTAAACCCTAAACCCTAGTAGGAGAACCCATGACATCTACAAGCATCTGAACCCCGATCGCTCTGTGGCCTGCGCAGAGAGGCCGCGGCTGCCAGGCTTGTCGCCTACACGCAGGTGTCTCTCCAAAAACTATGGGGGAGGTTTAGGGTTTAGGGTTTAGGGTTTAGGGTTTAGGGTTTAGGGTTGAGGGTTGAGGGTTTCGGATTTTAGGGGGCCCCAAATTTCAAAAAAGGGGGCGATACTGGCCATGCTTGGAGACCAACACAATTCTGTATGTTCCACGTAATCCCCCTGAACCGCCAGCAGCAGCTGCTGCTACCCACACTTTCTGAAAAAAATCGGCGGGGCGTGCGTGTTCGTGGTTTGGCTGCTAGGCATTCTGAGATGACATTGCTGGTGATACTCAGGTGCACATCTGGACTGCACTTCTTCAGGACCCTCCTTAGCTGTGAACATAAGCTGGGGTTTCCGAAATTCGGGGTACTGTACCTTATTGCGGTCCTTTTAATTAGATCTACATTGGGGGTCCACTGTGCTCGGAAACTGCCCAAGCTTGCCCAACAAGAAGCCACGCATCAGAATTCGGCGATGCTTGGCTGGGCATCATCGCGCTTGGGCTGTAGGATCCCCCCTGAAGAGCCACAAGAACAAGCTTAAGACCCCCCCCCCCAAAAAAAACATCAAAACATTCTTCTTTATAAGGGTATTATAGGGATTTTTGTGATTTCTTCTTTTGGTGTTCCTAGGAAAATAGTGGGAACTTGCTGGTCCTTAGTAGGAAATGAACCGTGTATCCCCCTGTAGATACCCTTCAGTCCGGGGATTGTATAGGGTACCGATTCCCTCGTCCCCTCCGCAGAACCACGAAGCGCAGCCGCCAAGTCCCCTGCCTCCGATCGGCGGCAGGCGAACGTCCTCCTTCTTCGCCTCGGAGTGTCAAAGAGCCCGCCCGCAGAAGGGGGGTTTACGAAAATGAGGAAGTCCTAAAATAGTCTCAGACCCCAAAATTATAGGATTCCCCTATACTCAAGACCCCAAGAAGGTACCCCCTAATATCGTAAACCCCCATATCAGTCCGGGGTTTAGGGTTTGGGGGTTTTTAGGGGCTCCTGTTGCAGGACGCTCCTCGAATCCTTCCCCCGAAAGCCCCCACTGCTTCCCCCGACAACCGCGAACGCAGCACGCGGTCTGCAACCTCAACCCCGCCCAGACGAGAGAGAGAGAGAGAGAGAGAGAGAGAGAGCGAGAGAGAGAGAGAGAGAGAAAGAGAGAGAGAGAGAGCGGGCCCAATCAGAAGCGGCCAGAAAGCACAAGAAGCCGAACAAAAGAAACAAAAACCCTTCAACAAGAGCTGCGAGAGAAGCTGACACTCATCCCCCTGACTCTTCAAGAAGCATCCTCTCAGCAGCCTATCAGCTCTCACCAACTCCACCATAGGGGGAAAACGCCCCAGGTTCAGGGTTTAGGGTTCATAGGGTATAGGGTATAGGGTTTAGGGTTTAGGGTTTAGGGTTTAGGCTCACACAAACCCAGCTCTAGGCTCCGGGCGGCGTCCTCGGAAGGAGGGGCCTTGGCCGCGTCAGCCTCCTGCATGCCCGCGCTGGCGCGCCTCCGATCTGGTGGCCGTCCGGGAACTGTATTTTGTTTAGGGTTTTGGGTTTAGGGGGTTTGGGGTTTAGGGTTTAGGGTTGAGGGTTTAGGGCTTGGGCGGGGAAGGGACCTAAACCCCAACACCAGAAGCCCTAAACCCTGACCGGCAAGGCTTTGGATGAAACTTAACAAGGGTTTAGGGTTTAGGGTTATTGTTTATGGTTCATGTACCTGAATCGGGCTTGTGCCAATCTTGGGGCTCATTTGGGGTTTATGGCTCATATACCTTAGTAGATTCTAAAGTAGTATGGGTATATAACCCCAACTTTTCAAGTTCATTGGTCCCCAAGGTAAGGGCTCAGTACGTTAAAGAGCCGCGCTGTCTCAGGTGACTACACCCTTAACCCCAAACCCCAAACCCTAAACCTCAAGCCCTACACCCTAAACCCTAAACCCTAAACCCTAAACCCTAAAGCCTAAACCCTAAACCCTAAACCCTAAACCCTAAACCCTAACTCTAAACCCAGCACGGTCAGATCCCGGCGCCTCGGCTGCGCCAGCATGCGCTCCAGCGGCGCGCGCTCGAAGCCTCGGCTCGCGCCCCAACAGTCGCAGACGTTTTGGGTTTGGGTTTTTTTTATTTTAACTGGAATCACCTTTTTTGGGGTTTGGGGGTTGGGGTTTCGGGTTTAGGGCTTCCGGGTTTGAAGGGGTGTCCTTGGTTTAGGGTTTAGGGGTTGAGGGTTTAGAGGTTTGTTTAGGGGTTAGGGGTTTAAGGGCGTTTGCCTTTCAAGCTTTCGTGGTTTCGTTTGCGCTCTAAGGTTTTGAGGGGCTAGGTCCGGGGGTTAACTAGGCTCCCCAGAAACCTAGGCTTAAAAAGGGTGCCCGTTCTTGCTTAAAGGGGTTTATAAGGGAACCTAAACCCCCAAAGGGAATAAGGGTACTACTGGGCATCCTAGTTAAGAATGGGGAGAGGGCTTCGAGGGCTTCGGAATCAGGCAGCAGCCGGACTTGTGTGGTCGACCTGCACCCGAGATGATGAACCCGCGGTACCGAAGCCCCAACCCTAAACCCTAAACCCTAAACCCTAAACCCTAACCCTAAGCCCCAACCCTCTCAACCTCAAACGCTGAAGGTCTAAGCCCCTGAACTCTACGTAATACACTCCGCGAGAACCACACTACATTCCATCTTGATTAACTCAGAGGTTCATCCTTGACCATTTCAGCTGAACAATTTTGGGGTGCAGGGTTCAGGGTTTAGGGTTCATGGTTGAGGGTATACACCCTTCGGGTCCTCCCCCCCCCGCCCCACCCGAAAAACCAGAAAGAGGAACTCTCCACCCTGCACCGATACCTGAGTCCTTGTCTGCTTTGGGGCATAGCCGGCAGTGGGCGACAGCCCCATTAGATGTAGGGTCGAGGGTGTGCAGAAGGGTTGGCACCCATGTGGGTGTGGGGTTTGGGAACCTAAATCCTGAGCCTTGAACCCGAAACCCGAAACCGGAAACCCTAAACCCTAAACAGGAAGGCTGTCCCCTCAGCCATAAACCGTATACCCTCAACCCTGCCTGACTCACCACAAGCTTCAGATTTCCGACGCCCCAATGCCCTGAGCTCCAAATGTCTTGGGTTTGAGGGTTTTGGCTTAGGGTTTAGGTTGAGATTTTCGGGTTCAGTTCAGTGTTTTATCACGGACATGAAGCCTCAACCCTGAACCAACCGTGAAACCTACACTCTACACCCTGATGAACCCTGACTCGACCCTAAACCCCTCGGCATCCCGGCTCTGCAGATATCGGAGTATCTCCGTGGCCTGCTCAGGACTACGAAAGCTTAGGGTTTAGGGGTTAGGGTTTAGGGTTTTAGGGTTTAGGGTTTAGGCTGCAGGAATCGGAGTGGTAGGCCTGGGAGTGGGAGTGGGGGGGGGAGGGGGGGGGGGAGGGGGCAGCTTGGAACTTTTGTCTTAGCCCTAAACCCTCACAACCCAAAACTCTACACCCTAAACCCGAAACCCGAAACCCTCAACCCAAAACCCTCTACACCATAAGCACACCCTAGGGGTTGAAGTCCATCAAGATTCTATCCTGCACCCGGCCTTGGCACTAACGTCGCTGGCCTCCGGGGGCAGCGGCTGCTTCCTGACAGCTGCCAGAATGGGGTGCAGGGTTTAGGGTTTAGGGTTTCGGGTTTCGGGTTTAGGGTCTAAGTTTCGGGCTTAGGGTTCCCTGGCTTAGGGTTTACGGTAGAAGGTTTCTGGTTACCCTCAATAAGTCTACTTATGACCTACTCAGAGGAACTCAGGGTGCTTCTAAGTACAGTTGGTTGGGGTTCTAAGTACCCTAAAAACCTCCAAGTCAAGCCCTGGACCTCCCAAGTAAAAACCCTAAACCTCAACCCCCTAAACCCCTTTCAGAACTAGTTCATGGTTGGGACCCTAAACCCTCAACCCCCAAACCCCTTTCAGAACTTGCTCATGGTCGGGAGAGTCTTGAAAATTTAAACTCATATCTTTATATTGAGTTTAAGTGGGCCTTAAAAATGCAAAAAAATGTTAACCCCCCCCCCCCCGCCATGACAAAGTTAAAAAGGGATAAGGGGGGCATCATGGCACTTGGAGTTCTGGAGGTTGAGCCCATCCTCTTTGTCTCGAAGGAATGGTTCTGAGTTCAGCTGTTGCAGAGACTCCCGAGCTACTACTTGCTTAAGAATCTCAAAAGATACTTTTTTAAGAAAATAAAAATACCTATATTATCCTTAATAACAATACCTACACTACCCTTAATAAGGAAGAATGTGTTTTGGTATTATTCTTTTTTTGGGCTCTTAAGCAGTTCGTAGAGAGCGGAGGCAGAGGAACCGGTAGGAGGTCCCACTCCAGAAGCCCAGCTCCGCCCTCAGCTCTATAGGGGCAGAGGACGGGAGAGGGAGAACTGGAAGTTCACCCCAAAACCCTAAACCCTAAACCCTAAACCCTAAACCCTAAACCTTAAAACCCATAACCCCAAATCCCTAAACTCTGAAGCCGCAACCCGGGAAGGAGTGGAGAAAAGCGCCTTGCAATCGCAGGTGGCGGACCGGGCAGCAGACCTGGCCCAAAGGACGTAAAATGGCTTCGGGGGCTTAGGGTGTAGGGTTTCGCGGGTATCGCGGGTATCGCGGGTTTCGCGGGTATCGCGGGTTTCGCGGGTTTAGGGTTTAGGGTTTAGGGTTTAGGGTTTAGGGTTTAGGGTTTAGGGTTTAGGGTTTAGGGTTTAGGGTTTAGGGTTTAGGGTTTAGGGTTTATAGCAGGCCTTAATTAACTTTGAAAAAGCCGCTTTAAAGTTTAAGCTCCTTCCCTCAGTTGCAGTCAGGAATGCAGTGCTCTCTGGGTACTTCGATTGTATGCAGAAGGCTTCCGCACTTGAAATCCCACTAAACCCTAAACCCTAAACCCTAAACCCGAAACCACCGCAAGGGCCTTTGAAGGCTACCCTTGGTGCTTTTAGGGTTTAGGGGGTAGGGGGTAGGGGGTTTAGGGTTTAGGGTTTAGGGTGCCATTCTCCAGGCATCGGGGGCTCGTATTCAAAACTTGAGGGGTGCTGGGCTTTCTGGGCAGGCAGGCTACGCCAGATTGCTTTCAGAAAGAGGTTGGGCCACGGCTTGGACAAGTCGGCTTAGGGTTTGGGGTTAGGGTTTAGGGTTTAGGGTTTAGGGTTTAGGGTTTAGGGTTTAGGGTGTAGGGTTTAGGGGGGTTCCCCCAACCGAGACCCTACTTTCAAAAGCTGCCCAGAACGCTTCGGAATTTCCTTGGCCAGCTATGGATACTTGGGAGCTCGCGTGAGCTCCGCGGATCCCCTACAGAAAGCAGGAGGCGCACGAGCCCTAAACCCTAGACCCTAAACCCTAAACCCTAAACCCTAAACCCCAAACCCGAAACCCTAAACCCTAAACCCTAAACCCTAAACCCTAAGAGGGCACCCCTAAGCCCCCAAAAAATCCCTGAAACGAAGGCGCGGAGGGAGTTGGAGGCCTTGCAGGAATGAGGCCATGGGCGCACCGCTGCCCTTGTTCAAACCTGGGGGAACCACATGGGGGTTTGGGGCTTGTTTTGGGGGGTTTTGGGGGTTTGGGGGTGTTCTTGGAGGGTTTTTTGGGGGGTTTGAGGGGTCTTGCGGTTTTGGGTTCTTGGGTTTTGGGGTTTGGGGCTTAGGGCTGGGCTACTCCCACAGCTCGGATAGCTGTTTCTGTTGAATCCCTAAACCCTGAACACTTAACACCTCAACCTGAATTCGTCTTGGGTCTTTGGGGGATGGATGGCTGAGGGCGCCCGGAGGGAAACTGGTTGGGCATGATCTTTTGAGCCTCCCTGGAAAAATGTTTCATTTACCAGCTCAAGCCCCTGAACCCCAAACCCCAAACCCCAAACCCCAAACCCCAAACCCCAAACCCTAAACCCTAAACCCTAAACCCTAAACCCTGAACCCTAATAGAGTTCAGAGGCAAGAGGCCTTAGGGCTAAACGCTTAGAGGGTTGTCGTACTTCCCTCAGAAGCCGCTGAAGGCCATCAGCACTCTTTACTCGAGGCTCCCCCTAATAAGGCGGTGCCCCTAGGTTTAGGGTTTAGGGTTTAGGGTTTTAGGGGTTTAGGGGTTTAGGGGTTTAGGGGTTTAGGGGTTTAGGGGTTTAGGGGTTTAGGGGTTCAGGGTTTGGGGTTTAGGGTTAAGGGTTTAAGGGTTTAGGGGTTTAAGGGTCCCTTTTCATGACTCCCTTGGACCCCTTGACCGTTTCAGACCCGAGAGGGCCCATACTCAGTTCTCTAAGTAGAGTGCACCCCCCACCCTCAACTCCCGACAAGAACCACCCCCTTCTGAACTAGGGATGTATTAAAAACAATATATGTGTATATATAGATAATGCACATACATATACAGATATATGTGTTTATACATCATTTTCCGTATATCTGTATTTATGTTGTTTCCTTGCTGAAGCCCTCGTACCCATGTAGGGGTTCCTGATCTCATGGGGCAGCTCGGGTCTCAGCCTGAACAGGGCTTATGCTGCACCTATGGCTTTTGCAACAGAATGGCTTTTAGGGTTTAAGGTTTCAGGGTTTAGGGTTGAGGGACACCCAGGCCTGCAACACAGGAGCCTGCTGCAATGGGATGGGCATTTTGTGTAGTTCAGATTCTCTTGAAAGGGTTCAGGAAACCCTAAACCCCAAACCCTAAACCCTAAGCCCTACACCCGAAGCCCTAAACCCGAAACCCGAAACCCAAAACCCAGGCCCAACCCTAAACCCTAAACCTTAAACCTTACCAGCTCTTGTCTTGAGCCCTGCGTCTTCAGCTCGACGCACTGGGGAGCCGACTTGAGACGGGCGGCACAATGGGCTTCAGACCTGGCTGGAGGTTGCCTTATCCCCCTGGTTTAGGGTTTAGGGTTTAGGGTTTAGGGTTCAGGGTTAGGGTTTTTGTTCTTCGTAGGGAATGAGGGAATTAGGGGCCCCATATCATTCCCTGTAAGGGGTTATATAGGTACCTCATTCCCTCACTCCCTACTAAGAACCAGCCAGTTCTTCGACTAAACAGGACGCGGATGGCCTTTCAACCCGCTGAAAAAACATTGCTAAATATGGTCCTCTGAAGCCCAAGCAGGAACAACATAAAAAAAACAATCCCAAGGGCTTACCGAGAGGATTGAGGCCAAAACGCTTGAGGGTTTAGGGTTACGGGTGTTACGTTCTGAGTAGTTTTAAAAAAGTTTCTGAGCGCACCGAACGACTTGGTGTCCTTTCCCCACAACCATTTCGGGTTGTTCTAAAGTGGGGCTGCTTGTTTTGAGAGGATCCGAGACCTCACCTTAAGTGATCTGCAATATAATTGGCCTCCTGAGTTCTTGCGCGCAACTCACCCAAGACCTCTGGCAGGATCCAAAAAGTAGATCCCGTTAAGGGTTCCTAAGAATGACCCACTAGTAGTGTAGGGTACTATTCGGGGGCTCTACTTTTTGGATGCGGGGTCAGGGCATATTCCACCCCTCCATCTGACAGCCGCCTAAACACCCAGAAGCCTGGCCTTGAGACTGGCTCCCATACCCCCATGGAAACATCCTTGGGGGCCACATGAACCCTAAAGGCAACTTCAGGGTGCATATCAAGGATGACCCCAGGAACCACATCGAGACTCCCAACACCAAAAAGCTGCAAAGAAATACCGCCCGAAACCCCAAAGCAAACCACATGTGCGAGGGTTGATGTACAGAATTGGTCCAGTCTTTTGGTAGGAAGATACAGGGATAGAGACCCTGTATCCCGCGGCGCCTTGAGTGGGCCACAAGCGCTCGATGTCGGTCGGCAATGCACCAGGTGGCTTCCTCTTCAAGTGTTTCGGCTACACATGCGCCTAAATCTTTGTTGGGCTTGAAGGCAACGAGCTTCAAAGCTTGCGTTCGGGTGAGAAACAGGATTTGGAATAGGGCGTTGCAGCTGCGTTTTACACGAGACGAGACTTTACTTATGGGCCCTTCTTTAGGTACCAAAACATAAGGAGCAATACGAATGTAAATTCCGCAACCGCAACGGCCCCAGAATAGACAAACTCCCCATATGGGCATTTCTGAATGTCTCTACGGCATGGTCTCCTGGTTCAAACATCCAAAAGAATCCTGCATAGGCCCCAAGCAGTGTAGTGCTTACGATCTAAATTTAGGGTTTAGGGTTTAGTCTAGCGTTGTCGCAAAAGCAACCCCGGAGCACTAGCTCCGGGGCCGCTTCAAGCAATCGACGACAGTTCTGCACTTCACGAGGGACGGATGCAAGCGCGCCATGTGCAACGGACGCACGAAGCCACCCCATCCAAGAAGCCAGCATACATGAAGCGCCCTGCAGAATTTCTGAATACTCAACAGGGTTGCAGTGACTCGAAACGGGAAGCGGAAACCGAAACGTATGGAAACGAAACGCAAGGCGCTCACTGTCCTCGGTTAATGTCCGAAATTCGTGAGTGATACTTCAATGATCTGCCGGCTGTGAACCCGAACAACGCGCCATAGACCAAGCCAGGGACACTGGTCATTGTGAGCCTGTCCTCAATTGAGTACTGGTCTGCGTATCCAGTTGCTCGATCCTGCGTGCCAGGGAAGTACCCCAAAGCTCGACTTCTTCTGGAGGGCTCAACAACTCATCCTCGGCTTCGGCTAGAAACGCATGGCCGGCGAATAACAAACGCACCGCATCGTGGAAACGAATCGCTTGGCCGTATGCTGCATAGAGCTTACACCCCAGCAGCAGTTACACAAACATCTGTTTAAGTCTTAGAAATCTATTTTACGACCCCGATCGACGTCGGACGCGGGCCCCTACCACCATGATGGGCGCGCTGGCTTGAGCCAATGCTGGCACCAGATGCGCGGCACTTCGCCCGTACTTTGAGCAACACGTGATGGGGCAAAGCGAAAGTAAGGCGAGAAGCCTGGAAGGAGGAACAGACCCTCAGGAAGCATGCCAAGGTAGCCGGCGAATGGATGCAATGAAGGACGCGCAATATGCTGGACGGGCCTGCATCCTCGCAGGACATCTGCTGGCGGCTTGCGGCTGTGGATAAAACCACTCCAACAAGGGCAAAGCTGAACAGGCCCATTTGCACGTCTCCCAGAGCCACCTCTTCTGGGCCACCGCCCAGGCTCAGAGTGACCTCTTCAAGATCATTTCAGAGCAATGGAATTTGCACGCAGCATTCAAGCGCGCACAACTTCGAGGGAGTATGCTTGCGTGCATCTTCGTCATCTTGTCCAGGCGAGACCTGGAAGTGTGCAGCTGCGAGGCATCAGCGGCTTCAACAGACCAATCGGGAGGCTGCAGAGGAATAATTGTTTGCTCTGCTGCCCAACATCAACTTCGGCAAAAAAGATGCAACTGCATTGAAGCCGACGCTTCTGCTGCTCGCTGGTGTACTGGCCACGACATACGAGTTTCAGCCGGCTGCCTTGCGTCAACCCGCAAACATTTTGGGGGCCTTCCCCGCAGGCAGTGGCAGTGGCAGGGATACAAGCAATGGAAACTTTTACAGAATTTAGGCCCTTCGCTGCCCCGCCTAGAGCAAAACGAATCGTTGAGCTCCTCAAAACTGGGGGTGTCCTGCGTTTCAGGCACGCTTGGGACACGGCACGAACTGGCGCGCAAGCGCAGTCGGTACCTCCCTGACCTCCTTCGCGAAGCAAGCGCCAACCTGCGAACAGTAACACAGCTTCATCTGACAAAAATTCAAGGTCTGTTGGCCTCCGGTAGCCGGAAGGAGCACACGCTGAAAGCTGAGCCAAAGGTGTCTGCTGAAGGCGCCGCGCCGTCGGAAAAGCAAGTGCTGCTCTTGTCAACACGATGAACATGCGTGATCTGCTCTGCTCAGGGCTGACAATTGATTCCGTACGACATTTTTCGCAAGGAAGCAGCTTCTGTCAGCACGACTGGAAATACCACGGTCATCCGTATTGGCTGGATTTTTGCCATGGATCAGAGTTGAGGGCCAGTCTGCCGTGGAAGCATGGCTGCGTCGGAAATGCGTGGCCGGACCAGTCATGGTCTGGGCGGTGTAGGCGAGAGGGCACGGGTAGCCTGGGAATGTCTTTGTGGTCCAGGGATGGTCTGGGGGCGGGTGGATTGGGGGTGGTCTGGCCGTGCAGCTCTTGAATCCATGATGTAAAAATACGTTTGTGATACCGGGAAGTCTAGCCGCCCTCCACTTCTGACAGAAAAACGTCAGCATCCGAACCCACCAGGAACACCGAGAGCTCTTCGATTGCGAGGCCCCCGTGCGCACGGCGGGGGTCCGGCCATCGTGACTTTCCTCACTTTCAACGCAAGAACCCCATCGTTTGTAGGGTTCTTAAAGGAGGGGGGGTTCAAGGGTACGTTCCCTAATACTCCCCACCACTCCCTAAGGTGCCCTACGCTTCCCTCAGGCTCCCTAGGCACCCACTCCCCATGAACCTCCCTCCCTTAAGGGTTCAGGGTTTAGGGTGCAATCAAGGTTTAGGGATAAGGACCCTGCAAATTGTGCAAGCGTTGCTTGCGGAGTACGGCTTCACAGCCCGAAAAGCGAAGCTAATTTGGAGAACTGTCCCATATCTCCTCAACCCCTCAAGCCTGCAAAACCTAAAAACCCCAGAAACCGTACAGAAACACCAGAAACCCTGTAAACCCTAGAAACCCTATAGAAACCCCAGAAACCTTGTAAACCCTAGACACCCTATATAAAACCCTGAACCCTAAACCCTCAACTCTAAATCCTCAAAGGCTTGGGAGCAAACGATCGGACTGCTCGGGCCGTGGCTGAGGGATTGCGGGCGGAGGGGGCCTGGGCGCCGGGGCTTACTTCAGTCTGCCTTAAGGAACTCTAAACCACCCTGAGCAATGAACCCTGTACCCTGAACCCGAAACACTAAACCCTGAACCCCAAGCCCACTTTGTTGTAGGTCACCCAAGAATCCTACAAGCGGCATGGAACGATAACCTGAGGGTTTAGGGTTCAGGGTTTAGGAGGTTTGCAGGCGCCTATGATTCGGGGGGCATGGGGAGTTTAAGGGCTTTAGGGGCTTAAGGGCGTGACGTTGAGAACGCTCGAGGACGCTTGCAAGGCTTGTTTGACGGTTTAAAGGGTTTAGGGTTGCCGTTCGATTCACCCTAAACCCTAAACCCTAAACCCTAAACCCTAAACCCTAAACCCTCCATAAACTTCCGGACTCCTAGCAATAGGGTGATCGAGGCACACTTCCAGCGTGCGGAGGGAAACTGCCCAAAAATTGCAGCCCTAAACTCTTACCTTGTCAAGGGAACCCCACACCCGACACAAGACAAGCGAGTAAGCTAAAAGGACCCGGCACCACCACTACACCCTTCAACCCTAACAATCTCCGAAAACGGAGTGGCCAAACTATCCCGAAACCCCAGGCTTCTGAGCGACTCGGAGCACAAACTCTGGGCCTAAACTCCTCACTTTTAGGGTTTAGGGTTTAGGTTTTAGGGTTTAGGGTTTAGGGTTACAAGTCTGGCAAACCCTAAAGCCCTGAGCCTTGAAACCCTAAGCCCTCGAAGTAACAACTGGGCAGTTCGCAAGAAGCAGCAGGCGGCCAGATGAGTGCTAAGCTGAACCCACAGCTCGACACCCTCAACCAAAAACATCGGCATAGGGAGCAACAGTCCTTCGGAGTGCTTCGGCCCACCCCGGGGTTTAGGGTTTAGGGTTTAGGGGTTAGGGTTTAGGGTTTAGGGTTTAGGGTTTAGGGTTTAGGGTCGCCCCCCCCCCCCCGCCCCCCCCCACCCTTCTCAAAACATCTCGGTTTAACCACTGGGGAGGACGGCCTGCAGGTTGGAGGCCTCCCCACAGCTTCCCCCAATGACCAAACCCTGAACTCTACACCCCAACATCAATGTATCATTAATGTTATTACTATTAATATTAATATCAGATAAATTACTGATATCATTTTCTATTTTCATTTTCATTATTATTGTCTATACTATTACACTCTCACGTAGCCTCCCACAACTCCGCGCCCTCTCAACTGAGCTCCAGACGGCCTGTGGTCAGCCCGCTCTGGGGAACGCCCGCCTCGGGGCTGCTGCAAGACCTACTAGGGCTTGATTGTTGCAAGGTTCCTAATTGTTCTCATACGGGTTCTTATGAAACCCGACTTAAGGGAGGGGGGGCCGTGCTTAGGAGAACTGCCACCCTCCATGATGAAGGCTTCTGCGCCACGGCCTGAAAAAATACGGGGTTGGGGGGGGCAAAAACCTACAGCTCCCCAGACCTTAGAAACCCTCAATCCTTGGGGTGTAGGGTCGGACCCTCAACCTTCAATGCCTACAAGCACTACATGGCTCACGCACACTCTGCGAGGCCCCTAAACCCCAAACCCTAAACCCTAAACCCTAAACCCTAAACCCTAAACCCTAAACAACCCTAAACCACCCTAAACCCTAAACCCTACACCCTAAACCCTGAACCCTAAACCCTTAACGACGAAAGCCCCGTAGCTTCAAGAGCAAGAAAGACCGAAACCCTTCTTGGAAACCAAGCCGCGGCTTCGCTGGAAGAGCATGAGGTTCGCCTTGAGGCACTCCTGCGCCTGAGCTCTTGCAAGGCCTCTACTGGCCGGTTCTTAGCAGGGAATGAGGGAATGAGGTACCCTACATAATCATAACCCCTTAAAGGGTATATATAGGGCCTTCCCTCATTCCCGACTAAGAATCAGGGGGCATAGGGTTTAGGCTTTCGCGGTTTTTGGCTTTTAGGGTTTAACGGCTAGCAGGGCTGGCGACAAGAACGGCATAGACAACACAAGCAGATTCATGCTCTCCCTATGTTGGGTCCTAAGCTCAGCACCCTCCCTTCAAGCCCTGGAAACATTACACGTGAAGCCGTAAGCCCCTGCCTTGGAAATCACCGCCCTGCAGCCTCCGACACCTGAGACCCCCCGTCTACGGAGTTTCGTCGACTCTTACCAGTTTAACCCAACAACCTCAAAAACGTAGCTCCCCCCCCCCCCCTCCCCACTCCCCACTCCCCACATCAAGCGAAGGCCTTCAGGGCCTCCACCCCCGAAACACCAAGCCCAAAACCCCAGACCCAAAACCACGAATCCTTAACCCTGAATCCCCGAAGCCCTTGAACTCTTAAACCCTAAGCCCTTTAAACCCTGAACCCCAAAGCCCCCTAAGCCCTAAATCCTACATACAATCTAAAACCCTGAACCCTGAACCCTGAACCCTGAACCCTGAACCCTGAACCCTAAACCCTGAACCCTGTCCAACCTAAACCCTATCCAATCTAAACCCTGAACCCACAACAAAAATCCACTCAGCTCCCCTGCCTCCATCAAAGGCATCTCGGCCATCCTGGCTGAGGGTTTAGGGTTTAGGGTTTAGGGTTTAGGGTTTAGGGTTTAGGGTTTAGGGTTTAGGGTTTAGGGTTTAGGGTTTAGGGTTTAGGGTTTAGGGTTTAGGGTTTAGGGTTTAGGGTTTAGGGTTTAGGGTTTAGGATCTGCAGGGTCGGGGGTCCACAAGGGCTAGTTTGGGCTCAGGATCAGCCCGAATCCAACCGTAAACCTCACACCTTCTCAACTAAACCCTCCAAACCCTCTAAACCCCAAACCCTAAACCCTCAAGCCCCTGTAACCCTATCCTGGGTCCAAACAGATAGTCATGGAAACTTTCCCCTGGCCTGAACCTTTAATAATATCAACAAATTCTAAACCCTGAGCCGACAGTCGGCCACCGCTCGCCCCTGAAAAGGATGTTTCCTGGGGGATCATCTTACAGACCTATATACCACAAGCATCCCCAAAGTGACAGCGGGGTTTGAGTGTACCAGCCTGCAAGACTTCGCAGGTTTTGGCGGGGTAGGGTCAAAAACTACAGCCGATGAATCCTGGTGGCGGGACTCAAGGTTAAAGGGTTTAAGGCTTGGAGGGAGGTGAGAGAGAGAGAGAGAGAGAGAGAATACGGGTCTGCTTGTGCGTGGGTCCAAGACTGTGACATCTAGTCAACCAAAGCAAAATGAACTCTGGAGGGGTCCTAATTATCGGCATCTCGATCAATTGGGGTATGGGGGGGGGTCTCTGGGTAATATGGGGCCTGAATAAACATTTAATCGGGTTTTGGGTGTCATTATAGTAAAATTATGAGAAGGGAATAATGTTTGTACTATACTATACTCCCCTTAGAACCTGAATAAACATAATATGTTTAATATCCTCTTGGGTTTGATATAAACACAACTAAAAAAACCCCAAGGGGGATAAAGAGTAATTGTTCCGACTCCTATATTTTGGGCGCCCGAAAGACCAGGCCAAGGCGCTTCTTCGGCGGAAGCAGGGCCGACTTCGGCGGCTCCGCAGCGACCGGGCCTGTTGCTGGAGTGCTGCTAGGGTTTAGGGTTTATAAGGTTTATAGGGTTTATAGGGTTTATAGGGTTTATAGGGTTTATAGGGTGTATAGGGTTTATAGGGCCTATAGGGTTTACAGGGTTTGGGTAGCCGCCGCTGTGGAGGCTCTTCCTTCGCAATGAGTAGGGGGAGATCTGGGCCTCCGTTCCGGTGGTGTTTGCTGTGAAGGGGTCACTTGCCAGGATTGGGTGACGAGGCCAACCCCCCTAAACTCTGAACCCTGAACCCTGAATCCTACACATATCCTTGAAGCACCCTTATGGTATACATACATATATATATATATACAAGCACGTCATGTGTACAATATAGTGTGAATATGTAATGTATGTATGTATGTATGTATGTATGTATGTATGTATGTATGTATGTATGTATGTATGTATGTATGTATGTAATGTATGTATGTATGTATGTATGTATGTATGTATGTATGTATGTATGTATGTATGTATGTATGTATGTATGTATGTATGTATGTATGTATGTATGTTGTATGTATGTATGTATGTATGTATGTATGTATGTATGTATGTATGTATGTATGTATGTATGTATGTATGTATGTAATGTATGTATGTATGTATGTATGTATGTATGTATGTATGTATGTATGTATGTATGTATGTATGTATGTATGTATGTATGTATGTATGTATGTATTAATGTAATGTAATGTAATGTATGTATGTAATGTATGTATGGTAATATAATGTAATGTAATGTAATGCAATGTAATGTAATGTAATGTATGTATGTATGCATGCATGTATATATATATGTATATGTATGTATATGTGTGTATGCACTAATATAAAATATAGAATCATCTTATAACTCCCATTGGGCGATTCGGCGCTGGGGAGGCCGCTACAAGTTTCGTGTTTCACGGGCCTTGTGTACTATGTGCGACGTTCGGTGTCGGAGCAGCCCTGAGGGCCAGCCAGGTTCGAGTGCTGCTGGGCTCACGTCCTACACCCTCTAAACCTGAAGCCCTAAACCCTAAACCCTGAGGCCCTTGATGATTGCCACCCCGGCCACATCGGGAAATCCCGCAACCAGCTTTAGCAACAAGAGAGCGTGGCTTGCCCTTACGGGGTTTGAATGACCGACATTTTGAAAATATCCGAATCCGTAATACGTGAGCCAATTTAATTAATTAGACTGCTTCTTGTGGGATAACGCGGTTCTGATGGGTGGCCTGCCGGTACAGCTGGAGCAGGCTCTTCCTACCGGTGCAGAGGCGTTTTCGGGACTTGAGGGACAGGTGAGGAATCCGAATGGGCGATTCTTGTAGGCTCTATGGTACTTAGTTGTCCAGTAACCTGGGGGAATTCAAGGTTAACCTTGGGGATTATCAGGGATTCTACTACCCCAAAAAGGCCAAAGGTTACCTACTCTACTACTAGGAGTATGATTGCACAGGGCGCCTCCGAGAATCGAGCTCCCAAACTTAACCCCCCAGAACTAAACTGCTAGGCGTGGCATGCCGCCTAAACCCTAAACCCTAAGCCCTAAACCCTAAACCCTAAGCCCTAAACCCCAAACCCCAAACCCTAAACCCAACCCTCAACCCTAGACCATGAACCCGTAACCTGGGAACCCTCAAGCCCAAGTTCCCTAAGCCCGACCCCAGCAGGCCCTGCCGTTTCGGGCTCAGGGACTCTATCAGGGTTCAGGGTTCAGGGTTTCGGGTTTAGGGTTCAGGGTTTAGGGTTTAGGGTTCAGGGTTTAGGGTTTAGGGCTCAGGGATTCTAACCTCTAGGGCATGGCAGGTATCGGGACGAACAAGCTCACTCAAGCTGTTGGCTTGCCCTTCAGATAGCCCCTCCCCTCCACCCCCCCCTCAAACACCTTGAAACTCCTCCAAACCACCTATGAAAATCAAGCAACACTCAAACTCTAAACTCTAAGCTCTAAACTCTAAACTCCAAGCTCTAAGCTCTAAACCCTGAACCCCAAACCCCAAACCCCAAACCCTAAACCCTAAACCCTAACCCCCCCCCCCCTCATAAAGCACCACAAGAAACTCCCGGCAGCGCGGCGCCTTTGGCTTGGGCCAAGGCTCGCGGGGAGGCAACTTGGCCTCGAACACTTGTAGGTCCCCTAAGGATCCGGGGCGTTTAGGGCCTTTAGGGTTTAGGGTTTAGGGTTTAGGGTTTAGGGTTTAGGGTTTAGGGTTTAGGTTTTACGTTTTACGTTTTACGTTTTAGGGTTTAGGGTTTAGGGTTTAGGGTTTAGGGTTTAGGGTTTAGGGTTTAGGGTTTAGGGTTTAGGGTTTAGGGCTTGGGGTTTACTCGTTTAGGGTTTAGGGTTTAGGGCTTGGGGTCTGGGGTTTTGGGTTTCGGGTTTCCGGTTTAGGGCTGAGCAACAGAAAAAAGGGCACGGGAAAGTCGGGGTGCCAGGGAAGGGCCGGGTTTTGAAAAGCTCCAGGGGAGCTGGGTCTCATGAAGTAGATGATCGTGCTAGGCTCACCTGCCCTGTGTAACCAAAGTGGGCCAACCATGCATCGCGGCTGAGCTTTCGGGTTTAGGTTCGGCAGAGAACAGGTACCTGAGGGGATGGAAAGCCCAGCGCAGCCGGCCTGAATTCAGAATACCGAGGGGTCCGAAAACTCCTTGATCCGTTAGGTTTGCAAATGTGGGTGTTTACGATGCGGGGTACCCAAATTGGGGTCCTCAGTAGAAGCTATTTAGGGGGTCTATATATTACATCCCCGATTTTCGTAGAACCTCTCGTCAAGGCCAGAACTGACTTCAGGAATGGCCACCCCCCAAAAAAAACCCTCAGAAGCCTCAAAGCCTTAGAGAAGTGCCTGAAGAGGCCCACATAAACCCCAAACGAACTCAACCCTTGAACCCCTAAAGCCCCTAAAGCCCCTAAAGCCCCTAAAGCCCCTAAAGCCCCTAAAGCCCCTAAAAACCCTAAACCTTAAACCCTAAACCCTAAACCCTAAACCCTAAGCCCTAAACCCTAAACCCTAAACCTCCCCGTGCCGCCTCAGGGTTCGAGGTGCCCTTCTCCAGCTTTGGCACTTTTGATGCCTCGCGGCTTTGGTCTTTTAGGGCCTTCGCGGTTTCGGGGTTTAGGCGGTTTGGGGGGTTTAGGGGTTTTGGGGGCGTTTAGGAGTTTAGGGGTTTGAGGGGTTTAGGGGTTTCGGGGTTTTAGGGTTTAGGGGTTTAGGGGCGTTTAGGGGTTTAGGGGTTCAAGGGCTTCGGGGTTGAGCCTAAACCCCTCAACCCCTCAACCCCTCAACCGTTTCAAGAGCAGGATTTAGGGGTTTAGGGCCAAATTGGGCCTCGGAGGAATCCTTTCCTGAAGTTGTCCATAAGTAGTTTAAAAGGGTTTAGGGCTTTCGGCTTTAAGGGGGCAGCAGAAGGGGTCGAGGGATTTCGGCTGATCGATTTGAGTAGAGGATTGTTTGGGCCCGAATTCAATTCTTGGGCCGAGCCAATAGGGTGTTAAATTCCTTCCCCTAAGACGAAAACTCCCCACCCCAGAAGGTGGAGCAAATTACCCACGCCCAGGGGAGATAGTTGCAGCATAAGCAATCACCTTAGAACCGGACTAACCAGGACGAATTCGCTCAGCACAATGATGGCTGAGCCCTGGGATAACATCGGATGATTGGGCTTTGAAAGTAGTGCCTGTCACCCTGCATGAGCATGGTCTGTGCATCAGGGTTCAGACTGCTTAGACGCGGGCAGCTCTACCTAAAGCCCAAACCCTCAGCCAACCTCTTCTACTTCTAGGATGGCCCGTAAAACTTAAAACCTCCGAAAGATATTCCTGAATATGATCCCCTTATTTAAGCCCAATAAGTGAAAACAAACAAATGCCCCAAGGGCCCTACCTAGTCTTGCCTAAACCCTAAACCCCAAACCCTAAACCCACTCCCCCGCCAGACCTCAGCTCGCGAAGGGAAGCTCACCTCCGTGACAACTTGCGTAGGCTCGGCCGGTGCTCCTTTGGCGGTGGAGGCTTTCAGGGTCTCGGGGGTTTCGGGGTTTAGGAAGTCAGGGGTTTAGGGGTTCAGGGTTAAGGAATTAAGGGGTTAAGTGGTTAAGGGGTTCAGGGGTTGAGGGGTTAAGGGGTTAAGGGGTTTAGGGGTTTAGGGGTTTAGGGTTTAGTCGTTTAGGGGTTAGGGTTTAGGGTTTAGGGTTAGGGTTTAGGGTTTAGGGTTTCAGGGTTTCGGGGTCAGCGAAGCCAAAGACCTTGCTTGGGGGAGGCTTCAGTGTTTCGGGCTTTCGATGTTTCAGGGGACTTCCAAGTTGCTGCGGAAGTTTTCGAGGGTCGGAGCTTACTGTAGAGCCTCTTTTCTTGGTTTGAGGTGTGCCATTTAGGGCTTCAGGTCAATCCCGAGCTCCAACACACAGGCAAGAGCATGTGGACGGAGGGTGGGGCGCCAGTCGGGGTGGCCCCCTCAACGACACACCCAAGCCCCATGATTAATAAACCCTACCCCCTACACCCTACACCCTAAACCCAAAACTCAAAACCCAAAGCCCTAAACCCTAATCCCTAAACCCTAGAAGCCCGGCGCCTCGCTTGGCCCAGCCCGGCGGCGGGGCTTTCAGCTTCGGCTCTGGAAGCGGCTCCTTGCTGTGCTTTGGGTTTTGGGTTTGGGGTTTATAGGGTATAGGGTATAGGGTATAGGGTATAGGGTTTAGGGTTTAGGGTTTAGGGTTTAGGGTTTAGGGTTTAGGGTTACCCAGAAATGGGGGGGGGGGGGGGGGGAGGATCTTGCGTGGAACAAAAAAGGTAATGGTCACTTTGCTTGCGGAGATGCTCGGGGCCCTATCCCCGAAGCTTTGGCCCGAAACCCTAAAGGGTTTAGGGTTTAGGGTTCAGGGTTCAGGGTTTAGGGTTTAGGGTTTAGGGTTTAGGGTTTAGGGTTAGGGTTTAGGGGCCTCTTTTGGGGGGGTATCATCGTATACTCAGAAAAGGGACCCTAACGGAATGCTATTTGTAATTCTGCCGACCACCAAAATTACATCGGGGAACTCATGATGAATCCATTTCAGCCACTGGGCTCCTCTCAATTCGCAGAGAGAGAGCCCCATGCAAGGGACTGGACCCAAAATTGCAAGGGACTGGACCCTAAAAAGGAACCTTTGGGGTTATTTAGGGGTCTCTTTCGGGGGTTACTTAGGCAAAATCGGGACTGTGTAAGGTATAGAAAAGGGGATATCTATGGGAATGACGAAGGGTCGCTTGTAGGGGTTCCTCCTTCTACCCACCACAGTGAAGGCACCTTAAGCTACAAAGGGTTTAGGGCTTACGAGGGGGGAGCGAGGCCCAAGAGAATCAACCCAACAATCTACGACTCGTCTCGAGGGTTCGGGCTTAGGGTTTAGGGTTTATTAGGGTTTAGGGTTTAGGGTTTAGGGATTTGGGCTTAGGGTTTAGCGTGCGGGGTTCGAGGGTGAAGCGTCCTTGGAAGGGGATACCGAGCGGTGGCGAAGGGGAGCCTGCCAGGTTTTAAGGTCGTTGATAGGTCTTATCGGGTTTGGGTTTGTAGGGTTCTAGACTACAGGGATTTTGGGGTTTACAGGGCATAAAAGGCTTCAGGTCCAAACCCTGCACTGGCGCAGATGTGGGGGAAATCCAAGTCAATCTCATCTTGAGTTAGGGCCCATGAAACATCGAAGAACTCCCGGTTCAACCCCGATAAGCCGAAAGGGACAGGTCCAAAGCAACCCTGAACCCCTGAAGCCTAACCAAACCGACGCCCTTAACCCAAACACAGGACTCTCTCCGCTCAAACGAAATTCAGCCTCTGACGAGGAACTGCAACTACCCAGCCAGGCGGTTTAGGTGTCACGGTCTTCCTCTTATTTGTTGTGTGTGTGTGTGTGCTTTTGTTTTTTTTTTTTTGGGGGGGGGGGGGTAGGTTTTTGTGTGTGGGTGTGAGAACTTTTGTTGTCTTTTTTTTTTGGGGGGGGGGGGGTGGCTAGGTTTTTGTGTGTGTGGGTGTTGAGAACTTTTGTTGTCGTGTTTTTTTGTTCCTTTTCTTGGGGGGGGGGGGGGGGTGGCTAGGTTTTGTGTTCATTTTTTTTTTTGGGGGGGGGGGGGGGGGGGGGGGGGGAGGGGGGGTTGGCTAGGTTTGCTTTCTCTTTCATCCAGGGCCTGGCTTTTGCCATGGGGTTGGCCCCCGCCTGCAGCTGGATCTGCCGCCGAGCCTGGGGGCAAATGCAGCTCACAACCCTCTCCTCCTTAGACTAACGGGTTCTTTAGGGTTAGGTTTAGGGTTTAGGGTTTAGGGGGTTTAGGGTTTTTTATTAGGGTTAAGGGACTAGTAGGGGTACTGATTACTACGTCCTTAATGGGGATTCAAGTGCCCTCTCATAGTTCGATCAGCGTCTGAGGAAGGCTTTGTAGAGAGGGGGGGGGGGGGGCACCTCTGGCTTCGGCGCCAGCTTGCCCCTCCTGTTCTTCGAACCTCTTACCTCAGCCCTCAACCCGAGTCATCACCTTTAAAAAAACCCCAACCTTCTTGAACAGAAAGAGATCAGGAACCCTAAACCCTAAACCCTAAACCCTAAACCCTAAACCCTAAACCCTAAACCCTAAACCCTAAACCCTAAACCCTAAACCCTAAACCCTAAACCCCCCAACCTCAAAGTCCGAGGCCGCGGCCGGGAGCCGCGCAGAGTGCGGGACCGGTCTAGGCTCCTCCCGATACTGGCTGTGAATGGCCTCTGCAGAGTTTGGACTTGGGATGCTGGGTTTAGGGTTTAGGGTTTAGGGTTTAGGGTTTAGGGTTTAGGGTTTAGGGTTTAGGGTTTAGGGTTTAGGGTTTAGGGTTTAGGGTTCAGGGTTCAGGGATGTTGGGTTTTGGGTTTTGGGTTTAGGGTATAGGGTTTTGGGTTTAGGGTTACCTTGGAATGTTCCTCCTTATACTAGCAGGTCCTTAATAGGGATTCTAGTAGGGGGCACTTAGTCCTTAATCGGAATTCAAGTACCCTCGACTAGAATCCCGATTAAGGACAGTTGCACCCTTCTTTTAACCACTGACTGGTAGCTGGTAAGCCCTGAGACCCTGTAGCTATGCATACAGAGATGTTTTATACATTCATGAAGGACCCCCCCCTGAAAGGAACCATAGTTCTGCGAGCAGAAGGCCATAGGGGTTCACGGTTTAGGGCAGCTTCGACTTAGGACGCTCTGGTGGGGGGGGGGGGGGCGCAAGGACTGCAAGACACCTTCTAACCATTCTGCATGTCTGACACACGGTGGGAGCAAAGACACGGCCGATGGAGGTCAGCTTGCACAATCCCGAACTGCAGGAATTTTGGCGATGGCTCAAAACTGCCACAAGGCTTTTCTCCGAAACCCTAAACCCTAAACCCTAAACCCTAAACCCTAAACCCTGAACCCTGAACCCTAAGCCCTAAAAAAACAGGGCCTTGGGTTTTGGGTTCTGGGGTCACAGATCGAGGTGTCTGCTTCCCGCCTAGACCCAAGAGTACCCTACATCATTCGCTGGCAAGCTACGAAAGCCCCTGGCAGGATGCTATAGACGGCTGAGGACAACCATCCAGAAGCCTGTAAACCCTGGAAACCCTGAAATCTCGCAACGTCCAAACCAACCCAAAATCTAAACACCTAAACCCTACACCCCAGACCCCTGTATGCCCCAAACCCTAAAGCCCTAAAGCCCTAAAGCCCTAAAGCCCTAAAGCCCTAAAGCCCTAAAGCCCTAAAGCCCTAAACACCTGAACCCCTAAACCCCTAAACCCCTAAACCCCTAAACCCCTAAACCCCTAAACCCCTAAACCCCTAAACCCCTAAACCCCTAAACCCCTAAACCCTACACCTCAAACCCTAAATCCTGCACCCTTCACAATAAACCCGAAACCCTGCTCCTCAAACCCTACATCCTACACCCTACACCCTAAACCCTACGCATCAAACCCTAAACCCTAAACCCTAAACCCTAAACCCTAAACCCTAAACCCTGAACACTCATCTTCGGCACCTGCACCTCACGGCCAATGTGCAGCAGTCGAAGTGGGTCCTGCCCCGGAACCCAGCGAATCAAGTTGGGGGTTTCGGGCGCATAGGGTTTAGGGTTGAGGGTATAGAGTTGAGGGTCTAGGGTCTAGGGTCGAGGGTTTAGGGTTTAGGGCTTGGGATTTAGGGTCGCGGGTTTAGGGTTCAGGGTTTGGGGTTTAGGGTTGAGGGTTTGGGGTTTAGGGTGTAGGGTCTGGGGTGTGGTAGCATGGTTTAGGGCTCAGTTGCTATGGGCTCGCGGCTGTGAGCCGAGACCCGAGTTGCGCGGGAGCTCGGTGAACTAGCAGCCCTAAGCCCGGGGTTTAGGGTCTAGGGTTTAGGGTTTAGGGTTTAGGGCTTAGGGTTTAGGGTTTAGGGTTTAGGGTTCAAAGTTTAGGGTTTAGGGTCCGCCGACCCTGGCGGCGTGTTGGATGGGTTTGAGGAGGTGAAAACCTCCCTCTTTCCCTCCTTACCCCCACAAAAACCCGCTAAAGAGGGGGGGGGGGGGTAGGGGGGGTCGGGGCACAGTTTTTTGTGCCGTGGAGGATCGCGCCACCCGCACAGCGTAAAACAGCGGTTCAGCACAGGGGGGTCGGGCCCCCCTCAGCAAAATCAGCGTTTTCCCAACCCCCCCCCCCCCCCCCACCCCTCCACCCCCCCCCGCCCCCCCCGCAACTCCCCCCCCACATCCCCCCCCCCCCCCCACCCCCCCCCCCCCCCAGCCCCCCCCGCCCCCCCTCGCCTTTCTTTTATGGCTTCCCTAACCCCCCCCCCCCAAACGTTTCACAGAACTCTGCCGAGCATTCTCAAATGATCTTCGAACCATGCGAGCGGGTTTAGACCTCTCAACTATGCTCCAGCGGGGTCGGCGGCTTGAGCCGGAGGCTCTTAAATCCGGCCCCCGCGCCGCCCGTGGTCCAGGACGGAGCCCGCGTCGCACTAAAGCGCTAGCTTTAAGGGGCGAGCGCCCGAGCCGCCGACCCCGCCCAAAATTGCTTCAAATTCGCGCGGGGCCCTTCGGGAGGCCTCCAAAACGGCATCCAAGGGGACGCAACACGCGGTGGCGCGAAAAGCACGAAAACCTCGTAAAAACCATGGGTTTTTACGAAAAACCGAGGCCACAAAACACCCGCAGCACCCCATTAAACCCTCACGGGCGCGCATCATCGGCCCTAGCTTTTCACATGGGGCGCGCGCCAGGCCGAAACCACGTTTTTCAAGGTTGGGGGGGGTACCGGAAGCCCAAAACCAGGCGAGCATCATGAGCATCAGCAGCCCTGGCCCGCGGGCCCAAGGCAATAAAAAACGCTGAAAAACGCTGAAATCACCGTAAATACCGTGTTTTTATGAGGTTTTTCACGCGTGCCTCCGACCCCCACCCCTGTTGCCCTTGCCCCGCCCCCAAAGTGCGCATCATCGAAACCCACGTCCGGGGGGGGGTCTGCTGATGCTGCTGATGCGCGGGGTCCGGGCGCATCATCGAGCCATCGCTTCTCTTGGGCTTCGTGGGGGGGTCCGGGCCCACGGCCCAGAGACCCAGCTGATGCTCATGATGCTCGGTTTGGGGGGGTGTTCCAACAGCAGAAAACCTCGTAAATACCGAGTGTTTTGTGGGTCCACGTAAAAACGCCCCTAAAATCGCTCATTTTACGCGCTCGAACGGCTTCGTGCCTACAAAACACCCGAACAGCAGGACCCCGAATGGTCTTAAGGGCATTCGGGGTCTTGCTTTTGGGGGTTTCGTGGGCACGCAAGCGTTCAAGCACATACAATCGGCGTGTTTAAGGGGGTTTTGGATGGCCTGGGGGAGGCCGCTGATGCTCATGATGCTCCCTTTCCTGGGTCCCAAAAGGCTTCCCAAGCCCAAAACACGTGTTTACAGCGTTTTCTGAAGGTTTTTCGAAGGCAAAACGCATGCATAGAATGCTTTTAAGGCCCCCAAACCAACCCCACTGATGCTCCTGATGCGGGTGCGCGCGCGCGCGCGCGGCGCGCGCCGGGGGGGGGAGGGGGAGGCAGGAGAAAGAGAGACAGAGAGAAGGAGAGGACAAAGACACGGGAAAGAGAAGACAGTGCCAAGGTTCAAGGTTTCGTGCTTTGGGGGGCGGGGGCCGGCCCGTGCCGCTAGGCCTGAAATTTAGGGTTTGAGGTTCAGGGTAAGCCTGAAACCCCTGGCAGTTTCCTTGGAGACCTCTCTGCGAACCTACCGATCTCAAAAGACAACGTGACCGTGCCTCCCTAAAACCCTAAGACCCGAAACCCCAAAACCCCAAGGAGCTGGTTTTCCATTCGGCCGCGGAAATCTTCAGCCCCCGAACGCCTGAATCTTAAACCTCTAGTCTTTAAGTCCAGACCGACCGCTGAAGCTTTCTGGGTGATCTTTTTGGGTCCCCTATTTTCGTAAACCCTCCAGTTTCGTTTCATCCTGACGCTCACTCCAGCCCTCAGCTTCTGCACTTAAACCCTAAACCCTAAACCCTAAACCCTAAACCCTAAACCCTAAACCCTAAACCCTAAACCCTAAACCCTAAACCCTAAACCCTAAACCCTAAACCCTAAACCCTAAACCCTAAACCCTAAACCCTAAACCCTCTCTTACTATGTATATTTAAACCCTAATGACCTTCGTCGGCATGTTGTTTTTTTTTCTGGGCCCTAGGGTTTAGGGCCCAGAGTTTTTTTTCAAGGTTTTTCAGAGTTTTTCAGTGTTTTTCAAGGTTTCTCAAGGTTTTTCAGGGTGTTTCAGGGTTTTTAACCCTCAAGAGGGTTTAGGGCTGTAGGGTTTGGGGCATAGGGTTTGGGGCATAGGGTTTAGGGCCCAGAGTTTTTTTTCAAGGTTTTTCAGAGTTTTTCAGGGTTTTTCAAGGTTTTTCAATGTTTTTCAGTGTGTTTCAGGGTTTTTAACCCTCAATTCTGATGAAGGGCCGCCCCCGCGACCTTTTCACAGCCTAGTTTTGGTCAAGGGGGGGTCGTATTTTTCAATTTTAAAGGCAAAATAGTCTTCGGAGACCCCCCTTGCCTCAAACTCCGACCCCCCCTTGAGAGGGAAAGTTTGCCTCCAAAAACACCCCAAATGAGGGGGACCCCAGGATCGGCCCGGGCCACAGTTAAAAATGCGATTCTTTAGTACTGAAATCGACGGTTCTGGGCGGCCTCTCATTTTCTGGATTTTTTGACCAAACCGAGCCTTTACCGGTTTCAGCATTTCAAGTTTTTCTAGGTTTTTCGAAGTTTTTCAAGGTTTTTCAGAATTTTTCAGAATTTTTCAATGTTTTTCTAGGTTTTTTAATGTTTTTCAGGGTGCTTCAGGATTTGTTTTCAGGTTTAGGGCTGTAGGGTTTGGGGCATAGGGTTTAGGGCTGTAGGGTTTGCGGCATAGGGTTTAGGGCTGTAGGGTTTGGGGGGCATAGTGTTTAGAGCTGTAGGGTTTGGGGCATAGGGTTTAGGGCTGTAGGGTTTGGGGCATAGGGTTTAGAGCTGTAGGGTTTGGGGCATGGGGCATAGGGTTTAGGGTTG